GGGTTTGAACTCGAGGCCTAGGCCTGGGGAGTCACCTCTCCTCCCCGTGGTCCTGCCGCCAGGGCCCACTCTGATTACAGGTCCCTTCCAGCGACGCCTGGCTGAGGCGTTTGCTTCAGCGTGGCATTTAACTTTCTGTGAGGAAAAGTGTGCCACTGTCGAAGAGTTCGCTTTTATTCCACCGCAAGGTAAACGTTTCCTGCAGTCCTGCTCACTTGCAGCACCAGACCCTCACCTCAGTATCTCGCGAGCTGTTTAGGGAGGTGCTCGGGGACCTCCACGGTTCCGGCGCTTGTTTCTGGACTTCCCCCTCCCCAGCCCGAGCAAAACGCCCTGGGGTCACGTCCGCCCTTCCCTGGACGGAGATCCTTGCCGGCGGCTTCCGCTGGCGTCTTATTTGCGTTTCCTTATTCAGACGTAAGGGTCTTTCCTGGCTGTGCACCTGTGGGCCCACAGGGCCTGGCGTTTGCAGCGGCGTGAGGAGGGACCCGACCCCTGGTACTTAACACGCGGGCGCTGCGCCTGGACGCCGGTGCCGGGTAGTCCGGGGACTCGTTTCGCCAGGCGCAGCAACCCCAAACCTCCGTGGCTGCCGCGTGCCTGACGCGTGGCTTTCGCAGGTGAAGTTTGAGTGGACCCACAATACTTTCTAGCAACATAATTAGGACATACTCGAAACGATGTCTACAATTTTTTTAAACGGGACATTGCGTTCTCTTTGGAATCAAAACGGAATTTCAAATTCCAAATATCGCTGAAAGTTGAGCGCTTTGCTGGACGTCTGTAATCCCAGCTACTTGGAAGACTAAGGCAGGAGCATTACAAGTTCCATGCCAGCCTGGGCAATTTTGGGACTCCCTGTCTCAAAATTTAAAATTAAGGGTTGGGGTGTAGTTCTGTAGTACTGCACTTGCCTAGCACAGGAGCGACCTTACCGGTACCAGGGTAAGAAAAGTCAGGAAGGAAACTGCCCTTGTGTATGTTCTTAAATCCTTTTCAATAGTTTTCTACCTTTCCAAGTTGATATTATCAAGCAGTAGACTGTAAATACTTTTTATATATGTGTGTGCCAGTGCACATATTAGGCATATTAATGAATCGCAGAGATCATCAGGCTTTATTCTCAGTTTTCACCCAATACTTGTGATTAGATTTACATTTCAGAAGCACAACCAAAGTCCATTGATTAAAAAAAAAAAAACTTCTAGTGACTATGAAGACACATCTTTATTTTCTCAATAAACAGTACACAATGAGTAATAAGATAGATCCCTGAATTCACACGTGGAAAGCAAAGTTTCAGATTCTAAAAAGAAGCAGGTCAAATAAGAATGTAAAGAACTTATACAGTGAGATACCATAACGCCACAAACACTCAAAAGATGTTATTGCCAAGATCTATTTTAAAAAATCAGATCATGTCAGGCTGAATTTACTTGTTCTCCATATTTAGTTTGGGTTAGGGAGAAGGTGAGGTTCATGTACACCATTTTGTTGTTGGTAAGCTTTCAGATCCTTTCAAAAAGAAATTCCCGTATTTAGAGGGAATTTAGAGAAGCCAGTGTTTAATTGCTTTAAAAATGAAGCAGACAAGGCTGTTCACCGCCCAAAAAAGATAGCAAACAAGGCTCTTTTCTGCCAGCCATGACTAGACAGTAGCTGTATTGCCCAACAGTTAGGTGAAAATGAAAGGACGGATGTTAACAATACCAACCACTGTGTACCACTCCCTTGGCCTAACTTCTGTCACTCTAAGAAGCTTCTCTGAAGCCTTTGATAATTTTTAAAATTTTTATTAGTACATGTTTGCCGTACATAATGATTGCATTCACTCTAGTGGATTGGTACATGTACATAACACATTTCAGTTCCCTTCTTCCCCCTCCTCCTTCCATCCCCCTTTTATTTTCCCAGTATCAGATTCATTTGTCTTATATGACTGTATAAAATTAATTATCATATATACACATTGAAAACCAGACTAATAGGCCAAAGAACATATAAAACATGGAAGAAAATTGTATTAATTCAAGGTACATGTTTAGATACATTGTCCATACTGGATCACAATATCTTTTTTCTTTCTCTTTTTCCCATACTTCATATATATATGTATTATATATATGTATGTATATGTATATATATATATATACATATATATATATATATTGAGGGTTTCATATAAGAGAAACATGGGATATTTAAACTTGTATGTCTGAGTTACTTCACTTAACATCATGGTCTCAAGCTGCATCAATTTTCTTACAAATGACTTATATTTGTCCTTTTTTATGGCAGAACAGAACTTCATTGTGTGTAGCAGTACTCCATTGTGTGAATGGATTTTAATCCATTCATTTTCTGATGGACATATAGGCTGTTTCCAAGAATTAGGTATTAGGAATTGCACTATTGTAAACTTGGGTATTCATACATCACTGTGTTATTGGGAAAATACCGAAAAAGGAATAGCTGGGTCAAAAGGAATTTCTACTTTTATTTTTTGGGGAATCTCCATGCTGATTTCCACAGTGGCTGTATCAGTGTACAGTCCCACTAACAATTGAGAAGAATTCCTTTCTCCCCACAGCCTTGCCAGGGTTTGTTATTGGTTGATTTCTTGATAGTGGCCATTGTTTCTGGAGTCAGAATCTCAGTATTGTTTTAATTTGCATTTCTCAAATGGCCAGTGATGATGAACAATTTCTCATGTATTTATTGGCTGTATTTCTTCATTTGAGAAACGTCTATTCATTTCAAATGCCAATTTTTTAACTGGGTCTTAAAAGTTCTTTATATATTCTAGATATTAGTCCTTTGCCTGATTAGCTAGCAAAAATTTTCCCCACTCTGTAGGTTGTCTCTTCACTCTGTTAATGGTTTTTCTTTTCTGTGCACTGATGATTTTATTCTAAATACTCCTAATTCAGGGCCAGGGATTTAGCTCGGTGGTTCTGCCACCTGGCTCGCAAGCACAAGGTCCCGAGTTCTATCCCCAGTACCAGTAAATAAATAAATAAATAGTCTTAAGTCTGATTCAATATTTGAAGTTCAATTCAAAATATGAAAAATCCTGAAATTTCCATTATTGCATAATTAGTAAGATGTGTCACTTATTTGGTACTCTAGATATGCTAACTGCTTTGGAGGTATTTTCTCATTTGTCTTTACAAAAACTCTGAGGATGTTACATTTTACATTAGAAAAAATAAAGCTCAGAGGGAAATATTTTTATATCCATTATCTTTTTTAATCTATGTAAATGTATACTTTAAATAATTTTGGCAGTTCAAATATTACTCCATGGTGCATCTTTCTTTGAAGTTTTTATCATCTAGTTTTCCAAAAAATATGGTTTTAGAGTGTTCTGGATTTTATTTCACTGAGAGAGGTTTAGGTCTTAGAGTTACTCTTAAGTTGTTTTTCCTAAATAAGTCAAGTTGTAATGTTAACTTGTTAAGATTGTCTTTTGTAATTCAAAATATAAATATCACATCATATCATATAAATATCAGTGAATTAAAATATTGCTTTATGAGCCAGGTGTGGTGGCGCACACCTGTTATCCCAACACTCGGGAGGCTGAGGCAGGAGGATGGCTGTGAGTTCGAGACCAGCCTGGGCTATATAGTGAGTTCCAGGTCAGTCTCAACTACATAGTCAGATCCTGTCTCAAAAAACTATTAAAAAAATATATATATATATTGCTTTATATAAAATGTTTTATATGCATATAAAACAGTAGATTGGTGCTTTTCCTCATCTTTCAACTATTAATTTCCTTCATTGTTTAAGATACATTTTGCACAGTTAAACTTACTTTTTTGAGTGTATAGTTCAGAGAGTTTAGATAAACATACACAGAACTGTAACAACACTACAATAAAAATATAGAACATTTCCATCATCCTCCACATTCCCATGTACTGATTCTTTGTAGTAAACTCTTTGGCCCACTCCTAGTTCCTGGCAACTACTGATCTGTTTTCTGTCTCTATGGTTTTGCTTTTGTCAGAATGTCACACAAAAAGAAATATATAGTATGTAGCCTTTTGAGTCTGGCTTCTTTCACTTATCATAATGCTTTTGAGACCCATTCATGTTAAGTATATCAGGGGTGCATTCCTTTTCTTTGCTGAATGGCATTCTGTTCCATTTCCCAGTTGGGACACCTTTGGGTTGTCTTCAGTTTTTGGTCATTACAAATGAGCCACTATAAACATTCAAAAACTACAGGTTTTTGTGAGTATAGTTTTTCATTTCACTTGGGAAAATACCTAGCAAAGAGACTTCTTTATGTGGTAAGTTTATGTTAAACTGTTGCCCTAAGTGGCTATCATATTTTTGGATTCTCATCAGTAGTGCACGAGAGTTCCAGTTGCTCCATCCTAGTCAGTGTCACTAGGGTATTTTTTTCTTTTTGTCAATTCTACTACATGTTGTTTTGAAAAAAAAAGTGTGAACCAATATTTTAAAGTCAGATGATTTTACAACCTAGATATCTTAATTGCCACTATGATTTCTCGTTTGCCATGGCTAACCTGCCCACACCATCTTGGAGCTAAATAGCTACAGATACCTTTAAATGGACATGTACTTTTCAGTTCACTTTAGTCACTTCCTCGCCTATTTCCCTTATTGACTGTATCTCCTGCCTGTGTTTGAGAACGTTTGAGACCCCTTAGTGGAGTAGTTGAGAATTTGGCTCCTAAAGTCAATGAATGAGTTCCTTGGAATGTGTTTATCCAAGCCTCATTTTCCCATCTGTGAAATGGGGCTGAAAGTATTCTTTTCTCAGAGAGTTCCAGTGTTTTAAAAAATTTTTGTTTGTATAATGATTTGACTTTCAAAATATAGGTATTTTAAAATGGAAAATAGAAAAAAAAAGCAAAAAATTGATAATATGGGTTTTTTTGTTTGTTTGTTCATTTTTGTTTTTTGGTGTTAAGGATCAAACTTGGGACCTTGCACTTGCAAGGGCAGCAACACTGAGCTAAATCCACAGCCCACTAACATGGTTCTTTTGAATTAGGCCTTATATAATAACATGCTCATAGAGTAAGGCTAGGAATATCTTATCAGAGTAAGATACTAAATGTCACAGAAATTTAGTTTGTTCTAACTAAAAAATAAGCTTATGTTGCTTATCACTGTTGTAGTTTTTTTCGGGTGAGTATCTTAATTTCAAGGGAGTTCTTTGAGAACCGCAAATCAGGATGTTAACATACCTATATTTCTGATACACATAACTTTATTTTGCATCTAATATTAGACTAGAGTTGATTTGAGCAAAGTTAAAGACATTTTGAGTTTTTCAAGTAAGTTTATACAAGAACATCCTGTAGTTTTTTTACTAAAATTACTGTCTGAGTTTTAAAAATTCATTTTGGAATTCATCAGTCTGTTGTTACAACTGTTCGTGCACAGCCTTTACAAGGCAAGTTATTTTAACTATTAGAGCTCAGTTTTTAATTTAAAGATACTTAATGCTTTTATATTCTAGCAAGAGATACTAGCTATCTCAGAAATAGCTAAATAATGTACAGGGACTATTTCCTGTGAGTTAATTGTCCCAGAAAGTCACATTCCCTTAAAGATATCTGAAACGAAGAACATTCTGAAACAGCTAGAAAATTATTTTTACATTAACAAAAGAGATAGACTGACTCTGTCAACATTGCTAGGGCTTGAAAGAGTTAAGTATTCAAGTAACAATTTATCTTTTTCATTGTACAGTGCTATACAGTATTCTCAGTGGATCTTGTATATAATATATGAATGTATTTAATATCTATCTTTAAATTATTAAGGCTCAAGTACTTCCTAGCATGTTTGAAAAAAGAGGAAACATCTGTCAGAAGTATTTACTGTGACAAACACAGAAAAAAGCAATAATGTATATCTTTATTGTTTGTTTAATACCATGTGTTATTTTTAATTTAAGGGTAAAGGCATTTGTTCAGAATCAGCCTTTAAGTAAAAAAATAGTTTTGCACTAATCTTTAATTGAAATGTACATTGATAGCATCAAGTTCAGTTTGAGGGTCAGAAACAACGTCAATGAGTCTGACTTTTCCTCCCTGTAGGGAAAACTGGCTTGTGTAAATATACATGAGTATAGACTGTATGCATTTATTAAAAAGGAGGAAAACATTCTCCTGTCTTTGGACAGATGTGGCTTCACTATGCTCTACATAGAATATAGGCACAGCTTCTAGTGTGTAGAACCCTAAAGGAGTATGGAGTCCATACTTTTAGCTCATGGAAAGATGCAATTTAAATTATTTTCTACCTCTTTGCAGGTTTCTTCACCCTGAATGTTAAATATAGACTATAGGGAACATATATGCTGATGCCAACTCATTATCTCCCTTTAGGTAATTAAGGGAAAGAAGAGAAGAGCTGCTTCAATCAATATTTTAGAATCTAAAAAAAATTTTTTTTGCAGTGCTGGGACTGAACCCAGGCCTTTGTTCATGGCAAACAAGCCCCACGCCACTTAGCTGAACACCCAGCCAGTGTACTTTGTTTTAAACACTTTACTGACCTTCTAGATTTATTATCTCTTAGCTTCATGTTAAATTACTAAAATGTTAACAATAGGCACACCCTTAAAATATATATCAAGAGCTTGATGAAATTCCTTAATGTGTTTGATTGCCTTTTATGAAAGAGAGACGTACATGGTTGCCCTATCTAATAAGACTTAAATCTTTTGAGACACCAAAATAATATTTTGGCATAACTGGAGTGAAAATGTTACCTGAGGTAATAATAATCATTTAAAAGGAAACATTGATGTACTATTTTCTTCACAGGATGAAGAAACTAGAAACTCAGAACTGAACACGACCAGCCTCATTGACTGTGGAAGAAGCAGGATGTGCCTTTGTCTGCTTCTCACAGAAGCCCCTCCTTCCTGCTGGCTTTGTGTAAGACAGCTCACCTGGTAGTATGGAGTAGTTTCAACTTAAAGTAGATTTAGTTCTGTATGTAATTGGGCAAATGAGGGTAGAGTAGAGTGATTTGTTTGTTGTTTCACAGTATACTCCTAGTGATGTGAGCTTTAGAATATGGTATGTGGCACAGCTCGCTGCTGATCTTCGTGTATGTGGCAATGTATAAAATTCACCAACTTAGTTTTCTGAGGTTGTGTATATTTTTATTGTTTTATTTTCTACCTTGATAAATAGCAAGACTTTTCAATATGCTTGGCAAAGAAAAGTCTCATGGACATTGTTATGGAATTGATGCTACTTGTTTAAATCTTTAAGAAACTATCAAGCTCTATGGACAAACTTGCTGTGTTTTTTTTGGTAATGACAATATACTTAAGCAATAAATCAAATTCTCACCTAATTCCTATTTTCTTGTGAAATAGAGATGAAGCTAGGCCCAAACTAGGACTCCTCTTCTATGTAAATTACAGCAAACTCTAAGCATGCCTCCCTGCAAGCCTAACCTGCTCTATATGGAATCAGAGTATGTAGTATAGCAGTGTTGTTCAAAGGGTTTCATCAGGTGGGCTCTGCTAGAGATGCTGAGTCACCACTTCTGGACTGGACTGCAAAGAGGGTCTTGTGACAGACCCATCTGTCTTTCAGCAAGCAGTTCTGGGAATATGAAAACTATTCCAAAGTTTGTCCATTGGCTCTGATTATCTTCTCAATGACACTGCCCTTCTTTATATTGTAATGACTATTATGATATGATTGAAAATATCAATCAAGCAATCATTGTATTAATTAGAAGTGAAAATTAAATTAAATGAAATATTTATAGTGTATATTAGGGGTCTGGTTTATAATGCCCACATCATTCATCACATTGTACAGTAATTGTATCATAGTTATCTTCTCACATAACTTGTTGCAACATTTTTGAGATTAGGATTGTGTTGCTGGAATTTTTATATTGTGTTTCCTGGCATATGGTAGGCATCTGTTTTAGAATGAATGAAGTTATTACCTTTATATAGAAGTGGTATCACTTTTTAAAAACCAAAGCAGTTTTCTTCTCAGGAGATTTAGAACTGATTCATATGGAGCTAAATTATGGATAGACTCAAAGTACAGAATATTCTTAGATTATTTTTTGGACCATAAACTTTTGAAAGTCTAATGTTTCCTTCAGAAACATCAGGTTAAGAATCTTTAGCTCAGAGAAGTGGTGAAAGGAGCCTATCTAGTTCGCTAGGCTCCTCTTCCTTTCTGCACCCAATAATCCCTTATTGCAGCTGTCTCCCCCTCATCCTCCATCTTCAGCTAGGGTCTTGCTCCTTTAATGATCTCTAATCATTCAGGGGATGATGACCTTTACCTGTGTCTTCTGGGATTTTTCTGAGTTACTTGCCCTGCCTTATCAGTGAATATATCTAGTTTATAATTCACGACTCCTCCTGACCACCCCTCCTACTGCAACTTTATGACTATTTGAACTGACCAACAATAAACTTTTTCCTAATGTGCTAGAAGGATCAACAAGAGGAACAAGTAGAAGACAGAGGACCTCCCTTCATCTGTACTGCTGACAGTAAGGATGTCCCATCCTTCTAAAAAAGATAAACTATATATATATTTCAGAGAACCTGCCCTATATCTTTAATAATTTTAGCATTATCTCTTGGGAGCTTTCTGGAGATTCATTTCCACTTATAAGGTACCTTTGTGTCACAGAATAAGACTAACTTTGGCTTGGTAGGTAATAAACAGAAACTATGTGATACATTGTTTCAAAGTTGCCTGTAGCATACAAAGAATTTAAAGCATTCTGCTTTGAAACTAATAACTAAGTTGTAAATATGACAGATAACAGTAAATTATCTAAAATTATGTTTTGTAAAATGGAATTAAATAAAGCTAAAATGAGCCACAGTAAAATCAATAATGAAATTGATATCCAAGACAAAATATTACAGCCTTGCCAAGAATTCCTATTCACATAAAATGTGCTTGGTTGTACAGAGGTACCTTTAAAAGTTTCATCTTTGCTCTTCTAGAGACCTGAAGGAATAATGTAGATTTTAAAATTATATATCATCTAGATTTTAATTTATTCATTTCCTTTCTTTTCAGTAGAAATGAAAGAGCCTTTGTGAAAGACTATGGAGTGTGCTATTGGCACATACATGAGGATAAAATTATTGCATATTACATAAATATATCCATGGTGTCATTGGCTTTAAGCCCAAGAAGCTTAAATCTATACCATCTGGATGAGGAGCGCAAATGTGCAGTGGGTAAGGATTAAGGGATCTACAGCTGGTCAAAGAAGAATAAGTACTCTTGAGAAAGGCTCAGATAATTATTGCAGCTGGTCATCCTTTACTTTAAATTTTAGTCTAATTTAATTGATCGTAGAGTCAGTTTTTCAGTGCAGTAAATCATATAATCTTATTTGAATACTTATTTTAAATCTGAAGTTGGTTCATAATGTTTACTCCACTCTTTCTCCTAGTTTGTTTTTACTTATAAATATTGTTTACATATCATAACATTCTATGTCTGCAAATTTTCCTAAATTCCCACTAAAGTGAATTTCTAAGTAAAGCTGTCATTTTTGTTCTTATATCCATAGATCTGCCAGTCAGTGTGAGAGTTAATAGTAGTCAGATTTGCTTCCAGTTAACTGCTAGCATTGTGCCTCTGCTAACATTGTGATCTTAGACAAATTACTTATCTTTCTGACACTCAGCCGTTTCATCTACAAAATGGATATATTATCTGACCCAAAAGTTATAATGACTAAATGCAGTAACATGTATAAATATTTGGAAATGTTTAGCAAAGTAAATGCCAAATCTCTTTTCTTCTCTTGCTTCCTTCTTCTTTACCTTTTAGGCCCCATTTAAAATTATTAATGCTTATCACAATAGCAACTCTAGCAAGATATAAAGTTAACTTTCTGTACTATAACATTCTATATGGCTTTTTAAAGTCCTGGTAAGAACACTGAACACTGAACACGAGATCTAACCTCTTGAAGAGTATTTTGAGAGTCTAGTACATTATTGTTGACTTTAGGAACAATGTTGTACAGCAGATCTCAAGAGCTTATTCATTTTGCTTGACTGAAACTTTATGCCTGATTAGTAACTCAACATTTCCTCCCTTCCAGCCATTGGCAACCAGATTTTCATTCTTGCATCTATAAATTTGATTACAGTATTTTAGATACCTTATATAAATGAAATAATGTAATATTTTCTTTCTGTGGCTGGCCTCTCTAGCTTAAAGATGTCATAAAGATTCATCTACATTATAGCATACTGTAGAATTTTCTTTTCTAAAGGCTGTATTAATAGTGCTGTATGTTCCATTTTGTATATATACTTCATTTTCTTTATTCATTCATCCATGGATATAGTACTGCAATGGCTACACATGCTAATATCTGTTGGAGATCTGATTTCTCTTCTTTTGCACACTTTAAAAGTAAGATTGAGCTAGGGATTTAGCTCAGTGTGGTGCTGCTACCTGCCTCACAAAGGCAAGGTCCTGAGTTCAATCCCCAGTACCAAAAAAAAAAAAAAAAAAAAAAAAAAAGTCGGATTGCTGGATCATACAATAGTCTTATTTTTACCTTTTGGGGGACAATACTGAGGCTTGAACTCAAAGCCTTATGAAGGCTAAGCAAGCACTCATACTGAGCTATAACCCCATACCTTCTTATTTTTTAATTAACCTCTATCAGATATATGATTTGCAGATCTTTTTTCCATTCCATCAGTTTCACTTTGTTGTTTCATTTGCTGTGCAGAAGCTTTTTGGTTTTATGTAATCCCACTTAGTTTTTGTTGCCTATGCATTAGTGTCCTAACCATGAAATCATTGCCAAGATCAATGTCATAGAGCTTGTCCTTATGGCTTCTTCTAGGAGTTTTACAGTTTCAGGTCTTTATATCTTTTATCCATTTTAAGTTGATTTTTTAAGTATGTTTTAAGGATCTCATTTCATTTATTTCGCATGTGGATATATAGTTTTCCCAACATCATTTGTTGAAGAGACAATCCCTTCCCTATTGTGTGTTCTTGACACAATTTTCAAAATCATTTGACTCTATCTCTATATGGATTTTTTTCTGAACTCTCTATTCTCCACTGCTCTTTATGTCTGTCTTATGTCCATTTCATAGTGTTTTGATTATTATAACTATATTTTGAAATCAGTAAATGTGGTGTCTCTAGCTTTCCTCTTTCTTAAGGTCATCTTGGCTACTGGTGGTCTTTTGTGGTTTCATATGAATTTAGATTTTTGAAATTTTCTGAAAAAATGCTGTTGAGATTTTAATAAATAGGTCATATGATTATTTTAATAATATTGTCTTCTAATTCATGGACATGGAATGTCTTTTCATTTGTGTTTAATTCCTTTTATAACTATTTTACAGTTTCAGAGTACAAGTCCCTCACTTTCCTAATTAAGTTTATTCCTGAATATTTTATTATTTTTGGTATTGTTGCAAATGGAAACATTTCCCTAATTTCCTTTTTGGATACTTTGTTGTCAGTGTATCTATGTGACTCTAAAATTTGTTTTTATTAATTAGTTGAATTTCATACTGGATTATAAATAGATTAATACAATTTGTTTTGAGAAAAGTAAATGACTAGTTTTTAAGAGTTATAAACAGGACATATAATTATTTTGTTAATTTCACTGGAGACATTCAAATTAATTTTTCTAATCTCTAATCTGAAAGAAAAATCAAAATTACTAAGATTAAAGAAACTACATTACTTTACAATAGGCTCACTTTTGGGTGATGGCTGGTGTTGAATTCTGTGGGTACTTCAGTATTTTTAAGATGCTTTAGTATCTTTAGTGTCATACAGAAAATATGTAAAATACTGACATCTAACTCTGGATCTAGTTCTACCCTTTACAGCGGGCCAGCGGGATGCTACATAGAAAAGAAATGCCTCCTGTCTCACAAGTTTTAGACCATGAGACACTGCCAACATTGCCAACACAGTATTATGGGTATAATGTTCCATTCTTCTAAATACTTTTTTTTCCTCATTAAGTTTATTGGTGTATTTAAAGCAAACAATACAGTTACATTTATCATTGGGATCCTGTACCTTTACATGATATATCTTGGTTCTTGTTTTTTCTCCATACCCCTGCCCTCCCTTCACCTCCTTCACCCTTCCCTATTTACAAATACTTTGTTTCCATTTTTTTCCTTTTTTCATATATTTTCTTTTCCTTCCCCTTCCCACTTCTTTTTGACAGTGAATATTCAATGGACATGATATGGGAAGATAACCAGAGCTACATTGCTATACACCTTTGTTCCTCCTCACCTCTACCTTCTTTATCTAATTACAAAACTCCTAGAATATGCTATCTATGCATAAAACTTCACTACACTGTTCCAGTTTCCCTTTATCTTTGCCCTGGCCGAAACTTTTTCTAGTCCTCCATCTTCTACAGTCAGCTGTGGAACAAGAATATCAAACACTATCATGGAAGGAAAGAAGAGGCCCATTTTAATGTTTTAGAGTGCAAAATTTGTGAAGGGTTTTTTAAGGATACACCCAATATGATAAAGACAACAATCACACATAACACTTTGTTACATTTAGTTGATTAGTTAGGCAAGGAAGATTGGGGTGCTTGGGGAGGTTGGGGTTGGAGGTTGTAACACAACCTTAGGCATATTATAATCCATATATTCAGATTTGGGAATATGTGCACAACAGGAGGAACAGGTCACAGAGTATGGTCAGATGTGGCTGTAATACATTAATATAGATTTGGGACCTTGTGCTAGTGAGGCAGGTGGTGGAATCACTGAGCTAAATCCCTGGCCCATCTGTAGTACATTTTAAAAATCTTTATTATTAACACCGGTTTGCAGTACACAATGATTTATATGCATTGTGGGGAGTTTATATATGTATGTAACACATCTTAATTCTTTTTATATCTCCTCCTCTCTTTTCCATCTCTTGGTCTTCTTCCCTATATTTTACTTTGTTCTTTATTTATTCTCTGGGTTTCTCATATAAGAGAAATTGTGATATTTAAGTTTGTGAGTCTGATTTATTTCACTTAAGGAGCATCCATTTTCCTACAAATAACTTCAATCTATCCTTTATGGGGGAGTAGTACTCCACTGTATGTAAATACCACATTTTTTAAGCCATTCATCTGTCAGTGGACATATAGTCTGCTTCTAAAATTTAGCTGTTAAGAGTTGTGCTATATAGACATGAGTATGCATGTATCACTATTGTGTCTTTAATTCTTTTGGGAAGATACTTAGAAGAAGAATAGCTAGGTCAAATGGAATTTCTATTATTAGTTTTTTGAGGAATCTCCACCCCAATTTCCATAGTGGTTATATATTCCCACCAACAATAAAGAAGTGTTCCCCCTGCAGTCTCACCAGCATTTGTTATTATTTGATTTCTTGATGGAGTAAGAATTCTTTCTGGAATAAGATAGAATCTCAGAGTCATTTTACTTTGCATTTCTCTAATGGTCAGATATGTTGCACATTTTTTCATGTATTTATTGACTATTAGTACTTCTGAGAAGTGCCTATTAATTTTGGTTATCCTCTTATTTGGGGGATCTATTTTGACTTCTTCATATTTGTAATCCCCCATCTTCTGGTATAGTCAGCCATGAAACAAGAATTATCAGCAACAGCTGGGGATTTAACTCAGTGGTTCCACTGCCTGTCTTCCAAACACAAGGACCTGAGTTTGATCCCTGGTACCAAAATAAATAAATAAATAAATAAACAAAAACGAAAGAAAGAAAGAGAAAAAAAAAAGAATTTTCAGCATTCAAATGCTATCATGCAATGAAGAAAGAGGCTCATTTCAATGTTTTGGACTGCAAAATTTGTGAAAAGTCATTTCTAGGATACTCCCAGATGTTAGTCCTCTGTCAGAGGTACAGATGGCAAAAAAAATTTTCCCCATTCTGTACATTGTCTCTTCACTCTGCTGATTGTTTCCTCTGTTCTGCAGAAGCCTTTTAATTCGATATAACCTCACTTGTTGATATTTGATGTTATTTATTGTGCCTCTGTCTATGTCTTCAAGAGTTTTACCTACTTTATCTTCTATCAGGTAAAGTGTTTTTGCTTTATTATTTAGTTCTTTGACTCATTTGGATTTTAGTTTAGTACATAGTCAGAGATATAGGTTTAGTTTCAATCTTCTGCATGCATAAACCCGGTTTCCTAGCACCATTTGCTGAAGAGACTCTTCCCCCACCATTTATTTTTGGCTCCTTTGTCAAAGATCAGATGCCTGGCTGAATGTGCCTGTAGTTGTTTTTGCATCTTTTACTCTGCTTCACTGATTCACATGTCTGTTTTTGTCCCAATACCATACGACTGTTTATCACTGTAGGTTTGCAATGTAATTTATGGGATTGTGAGGCCTCCTGCCTTGCTTTTGTTGCCCAGGACTGCTTTTGATGTTCTGAGTCTCTTCTGGTTCCGTATGAATTTTATGATTGTTTTTTCTAGCATTGTGAGGAATGTTGTTGGTATTTTGATTGGGATCACCTGAAATCTATATGTCAGTTTTGAAAGTATGGCCATTTGACAATATTGGGTCTACCTATCCAGGAATAGGGGATATTTTTTCATTTTCCAATGCCCTCTTTGATTTGTTTTTTCAGAGTTCTGTAGTTTTTGTTGTAGAGGTCTTTTATTTCCTTGGTTAGATTAATTCTTGTTTAATTTTTCTTGATGCTATTGTGAATAGTGTCTTTCTAATATCTTTCGAGGTAGGCTCATCATTGGTGTACAAGAATGCTATTGATGTTTATGTATTGATTTTGTACCCTGATACCTTGCTGAATTTGCTTATTAATTCTAGGAGTTTTTTGGTGGAAATTTTGGATCTTTTATATGAAAGACTATGTCATCTGGCTGTAATACATTTGTATTTTCTATCCTGATGAAAATTTTTTGTAGTACATTTTTATACTGTTTATTTGACTGGGTGTGGTTTTACCATTTACATAGTTGACATTGTACATTTTCACTAGATTAAAATTGCACATTTTCCCATATCATAGCTCTATATTTACATTGCAGATAGTTATACCTAATACTAACTAAACTAATGGGTTTTTGTTCATAACAGCTACCATTTTTATAATAGATGAAATTTACTAACAATTGCATTTATCTTAATTCACAACTAAATAAGTTTTTTACAAAAGCCTTAAAACAATCGAAACAACAAACTTTATTTCTTCACAATATTTTGGTTGTTTAAACAATTCTTTTCACCAGAGGTCATAAACTAAGGAGTGATGGTGTGCTTACTTATCTAAGAGTTACTTGAGTCTTCGTTATTACTGCTCTTTTTCTTGCTGATTTTTTTGGCATCTTTGGATGCTTTCCAATTCATTAGGAATTGTCTTTCCATGTTTTTTATTTCTTTTCCATCAAGAAATTCTGGAGAAAAATAAATATGTTTATAAAATACAGTAGTACACACACACACACACACACACACACACACACACACATTATACATCTCTGATTTAGGGCACATTAAACTTGTTACATAGTCAGTGAAATAATTTTCTCTTAAAAAATACCTTATTTGTATAGTTTACCTATTTTGTTGCATTTATATTTACTTTTAGATATTTTCTGATTTTAAAAAGAATATGTGATTATTTACAACCAAAGCATAGTTTTAAAAGCCATGAAAAGACTTTGTAATTATCCACACATCTTTCTCATCACTGGCAAATATAATCAATGTAAACAATTTGATATATAGTCCCCTAAGAGTCTTACATAAACTATCCTATCATTTTTAAAACAAAAATATTTTATGCTCAAAGTGAACTAATATTTTGTATTGACTTAAATAATATTTTGTTATTATTAATAGGAAAAAGTATATTAAAAATAAATGACAAGTTTTATATCTGTAACGTATTTGTATAGTATATACAATATTAATAATTCTTATTATATCCTAGGACATTAGCTGCAATAGGAACAAACTACAGAATTGGCCTCTTGGTTCTGAGGTATGATTTCAGCTAACTTTACAATTTTCTTTTTCTTTCTTTTTTTTTGGTATCAGGGATCAAACTTGGGTCCTTGTGCTTGCGAGGCAGGCGGTGGAACCACTGAGCTAAATCCCTGGCTGACAATTTTCTTTTTCAAAAGTTTTAAAAATTGAGCTCCTTAAAAAACACAAATAATTTTATATGTTGTAAAATCTTTAGAACATACAAAAAATTAAAACTGTATTATTCCACAGTGAAATATAATCACTGAAAACCACTGATGACACTTAAAATTTAACAACTTTTTCCCCCTATGGATTTATATGCGAATTTGTGTATCTTATTTAAAATGGAATCCTATAATGCTTTAAAAATACCATATTTTACAATGTCTTTTAAAACAATTTTAAATGGATGGTAATCTATTATTGTAAGCCAGGCACAGTAGCACACACCTGTAATCCCAGCACTTGGGAGGCTGAGGCAGGAGGAGCACTGTGAATTCACCAGCCTGGTCTACATAGTGATTTCCAGGTCAGTCTCAACTACATAGTGAGATTCTGTCTCAAAACAACAACAACAACAACAAACAAAACAAAATTCTACTATTGTATATGAATATACTATAAAATATGGAAGAATTTTCTTCTTAAGGGATGTTTTATATTATCTATCACATTTTTAATCACCTTAATGTGGTAATTTACATGACTTTCATGTAATAAGGAAACTCTTTTCTAACAATGTTTCTATATAATTTTTGAATTAAATATTTTCTCTCATTCATGTTATATCTTCCACTGGATTCCCAATTGCAAGGATGTGGAACAATTTCCTGGTTCATGTTCTTTCAGAGAAAATGAGAATATTCTAATAATATATTAATTGTACTCCTGAAAGTATTTAACATTGACACTTAAATCTGATCCATAATATTCTGTTATACCTGAAGTACAAAATAAAGTGATGAGGGCTGGGGATTTATCTCAGTGGCATCGTGCCTTCCTTGCAAGTGCAAGGTCCTGAGTTCAATCCCTGGTACTGAAAAAATTAAAATAATAAAGTGATAAAACTGGGATACAGTTGTCCTCCTTATCCATGGGGTACATTTTTCAAGACCAATACCCCAGTGAAGTTCTGAAACTGAAGATAATATTGAACCCCATGTATACCATGTTTATTCTACACTATATATAATGCATATGATAAAATTTAGTTTATAAATTAGACAGAGTAGAAGCTTAACAACAATAACTAATAATACAATAATTATAGTGAGCTACTTAATTTTTGGTACTGGGGATCGAACTCGGGTCCTTGCACTTGCGAGGCAGGCAGCAGTGAGCTACTTTAATAAAAGCGAATATGGTCCCCACTTCTCTCTCTCTCTCTCTCTGTCAAAATATTGTACTATTACATGTTTTCTGACTGTTGTTGCCTTGAATAATTAAAACCATGGAAAGTAAAACCACAGATAAAGAGTGGACTACTATTTAAACTAGAAGCATAAATTCTAGAAGTATAAAATTGTCTTCATATTTTGTCTCATGTTCTTTTCTTAATTGAATAATAGGAATTTCCAGACTATAATTGAAAAATTAAATATTTTATCATTATACATCTTAGTAATTTTAACATTAAAGATCATTCTTTTAAGCTCAGTTTCTCAATTGTATTTATTGATGTCTAAGATTTGCTTTTATTTATAATTGTATAACTTAGCGTATTTTTAGATGGGATATGTGTAATCAATATATATTGTAAACCTCTATTATAAAGAATGAGTTGGGCATAGGGATGCATGCCTGTAATCCCAGGCAGGAGGGTGGAAAGTTCAAGTGCAGCCTGGGCAACTTGGCAAGATCCTGTCTCAAAATTTAAAATAAAAAGAGCCAGGAATGTAACTCAGTGGTAGAATGCTTGCCTAGCAAACCATTCATGAGGCCCCAAGGTCAATAATCAGTGTTGAAAAAAAAACATTTTTTTTAAAGAATGAAAACTGCAAATCTTTTATCACAATATCCTCTTTATGTTACTGTCCCAGACTGAACTAGGAATGACTAAGAAACTGTGTCTTGGTTAGCCTGATTCCGTCTCATTTTTAGCAAGTAGTCTTATTTGAGGTTAGGACGGGCAGTCAAATGATAGACACAAAATCTTTAGAAACTTATTTCATTTGAATGAGCTGCATTCAACATAAAATTTGCTTCCATTTATGCCAACTAAACCAAATATTAGGATTAATTTAATTGGTAAAGAATGGGTAACATAAAACACCAAATGTCCCCATAAGTCCTTTTTATTGGGATACATTAAACCAGGCCCTCAACTTTATGTTTTGAGGTTTTACATTTAGTAAAAAGAAAGACATGAAAATAAAAGCTAAAATTAAAGGGAATTTGTATATGTGCATAAAAAACTGGGAGAACATACACTAAAATAACATACTAAATAGCAGATTTATGGTGAGATTTTTAAGTAATATTTATTTTCTCTAGTTTTGCAGAAATATATATATATATATATATATATATTTTAAAAACATAAACTATATTATAGAAAAGATTTATTCAAAATAGACTTTGAATAAATCCTCTTTATTTGGTTTTGCTATACATTAGTTTTTTTGTGTGTGTTTGGTACTGGGGATTGATCCCAAGGTTTCATACAGAGCTACCTACCTCCTCAGTCCTTTTTTTTATTTTTTATTTTGAGACAGGGTCTTTCTAAGTTGCTCAGGTTGCCTTGAATTTGTGATCCCCTTGCTTCCCGAATAGTTGGGATTACAAGCATGCACCACTGTGCTCAGCATGCATTAATTTTTATATCCACGTATAATATGTCACAGTGGTTCTGATACAGAAGCTGTCATGAGGCTCCTTCTTGAGACAGCACTGCTCATTCTTTTGATGACATATAATTTGGTTACCATTGACCAAATACTTTTTGTACATTTTTTCTATTATAGTGCATATTCAGGAATGTTGTTATTTGTAAATACTTCATAAAAGACCTCCCCTGGGCTATTTCCCTTTCAAATGAAAAGCAATTCTGTGTTCTTAGGGTACTATTTGGCAAACATTAAGCAATAAAAACTTGATCAATTTTATCTACAGAACAAAGAGCTAAAGAGTCCCTTGGGATCATCAGAGGATTTGTGCCAATGAAAGTTTATCAAAGGGTCAGCAAGTTGTATACATTTAACATTAGCTGTTTTTGTTTTGACAACCACATTTACTTTTAAAGAGTATCCGGTACTTTGATTATTTCTGAAAGATATTTTTCAATTTTTCAAGAGTACTTCTCCATTTTAACTTTTGGTCTTACTTAAAATACTAAACTTAAAGCTGAGCATTTTCAGAGATCAAGATGTTACATCTATATTTGAAAGCTTGCTGATAAATTAAAAATTTAAGCAGGTGCCTTTCTCTAAGAAAATTATATTAATATAAAAAACATACCTAGTGATTTGGACACCAGTATTAGTCTATCCCTATATTTTGGTTTGAGACAAACTGGATTTCCACTTAGATCCATTTTCCATAGCTTTGTCAACTTGTTCAGTAGAAACTCTAAATCCTATAATTGGAGGGAAGAAAAGCAAGACATAAGTATTTCATAATTATCAGTATTTCCAGAATATCAGTTAAGTGCACCCTTTGATAGATCAGCTAGTAGAGTGGAGGACTGTAGACCTGACAGAATGTCAGTGAACTATTTTTATTGCTTTTCATGTTTCAGTTCCTTAAAAGATACATAGCTAGTATGTATTTAAGAGCTAAACATGAGGCAAAAAGTGAGGTCCTGAGTTGAGGGGGATCATAGAAGTATTCTCGGTCATGCCTCCCTTAAATGGACCCAAAATGAATCTCAGAAAACACTTTTTGTTGAGAAGGTGCCCTGTTTAGTATATAGAAGTTTAAAGTTTAAGGCAATTGAGGAATAGTAAGTAAATACTCTGCTGGCATTGCATGCAATATATATTGTTGTCTTTCTTTTATTTGTAAATAATGCTAAAAGAACTATTACAGGGGAAAATAGGAGGGGAAAAATCACTTCATGCTTAGTACTCAAAGATCACTTTTAATACATTGTTATAATACCCTTGGAGTCTTTTTTTGAGCATAGAGACTTCTTTTTTAAATTGTCATCATACTGTGGGTACAGTTCTTTGCTACTGTTGTTGTTATACCATGAATATTTGCCTGCTTGTATAGCTTGTAAGAAAATCAGCTAGTTGATAATTCAAGGAATGATGAAGTTATTCTGTAGTAAGCAGCTTAACTGAATGCAAGACAAACAGATTAATGGCACATGAGAACCAGCACTGTTTTCCCTCTTTACCTTTCTCCTTATTTTTCTTTCCCCATCCACTGTTACTGCTTTCTCCCCAAGTTTTTGTCTTTCTTTCATTCCTTTGTCTTATCACTTTCTCCTCTTTAAAATTTTTTTAACTATTACTTAATGAAAATAAAATATACTGAGTATTACTTATATATGTGCCAAAGTTCTGGATTTTATTTTAAAATTACATAAATTTAATCTGTAATGAATTATTCCAAAAAAGTTATACATTTAGGTTGTTTCCACAAATTAGTTATGTGAAGAATGCTGCAATGAACACAAGAGTGCAGATATGTGTTTGAAGTAGTGATTTTATTTCCTTTACATACCCAGAATTTAGTCTGTGCTTGACTTTGAGGAATCCAAATAAATACTGTAATCTGTGTGAAAGCACAGGGATTTTTAAAAGGCGATCCTAAATTTCCTGGCAATTTATTTCCTGGCACAAATTTACTGTGTGACCTTAGGCAACCCTGTGTCATGTATTCATTTATAATGTGAGGATAATTATTAGGATTAATTGCCATGGTGTATAAAATACAAGGAACAAAGTGGGTAAATCATAAATGTGTTAGTTCTCTGACTCTTTGCCTTCCCTGCTACTCCTCAGCTAATTCTATTTCCCTTAATTTTGTTCAACATTGTTAAAGTTTAAGGAAGAATAAACTTTTGATCTACTGACAAAGGAGTAGCTTACTTCTTATAAGAAAGCTCTCATCACATATTATAACTTCAATCCTCAGCCCTAGAGTTTGCCCTCTCTGCAATGCATGTTTAACAGCATTTAATACAGCCAGCCATAATTATTTCATGTCAGTTACACTGTATTTCTCTTACTCTTAAAACCTCTAAGGAAGGAATTTTGCATTTTATTTTTGTAAGTGCTGAGTATAACGCCTATCGTACAAAAGTTAAGTAATAACAATATTAGAACTTGAAATTGATAGAGATAAGAAGGGTGTTTAGAGTTTTGTTAATTATTCTTCACTTGATAACTGTTGTTGTTATACCATGAATATTTGCCTGCTTGTATAGCTTGTAAGAAAATCAGCTAGTTGATAATTCAAGGAATGATGAAGTTATTCTGTAGTAAGCAGCTTAACTGAATGCAAGACAAACAGATTAATGGCACATGAGAACCAGCACTGTTTTCCCTCTTTACCTTTCTCCTTATTTTTCTTTCCCCATCCACTGTTACTGCTTTCTCCCCAAGTTTTTGTCTTTCTTTCATTCCTTTGTCTTATCACTTTCTCCTCTTTAAAATTTTTTTAACTATTACTTAATGAAAATAAAATATACTGAGTATTACTTATATATGTGCCAAAGTTCTGGATTTTATTTTAAAATTACATAAATTTAATCTGTAATGAATTATTCCAAAAAAGTTATACATTTAGGTTGTTTCCACAAATTAGTTATGTGAAGAATGCTGCAATGAACACAAGAGTGCAGATATGTGTTTGAAGTAGTGATTTTATTTCCTTTACATACCCAGAATTTAGTCTGTGCTTGACTTTGAGGAATCCAAATAAATACTGTAATCTGTGTGAAAGCACAGGGATTTTTAAAAGGCGATCCTAAATTTCCTGGCAATTTATTTCCTGGCACAAATTTACTGTGTGACCTTAGGCAACCCTGTGTCATGTATTCATTTATAATGTGAGGATAATTATTAGGATTAATTGCCATGGTGTATAAAATACAAGGAACAAAGTGGGTAAATCATAAATGTGTTAGTTCTCTGACTCTTTGCCTTCCCTGCTACTCCTCAGCTAATTCTATTTCCCTTAATTTTGTTCAACATTGTTAAAGTTTAAGGAAGAATAAACTTTTGATCTACTGACAAAGGAGTAGCTTACTTCTTATAAGAAAGCTCTCATCACATATTATAACTTCAATCCTCAGCCCTAGAGTTTGCCCTCTCTGCAATGCATGTTTAACAGCATTTAATACAGCCAGCCATAATTATTTCATGTCAGTTACACTGTATTTCTCTTACTCTTAAAACCTCTAAGGAAGGAATTTTGCATTTTATTTTTGTAAGTGCTGAGTATAACGCCTATCGTACAAAAGTTAAGTAATAACAATATTAGAACTTGAAATTGATAGAGATAAGAAGGGTGTTTAGAGTTTTGTTAATTATTCTTCACTTGATAAATGACCCACAACATAGCTCCTCTAGTGTATGTTTACTTAAGACTAAACTAATCCTGTGCTGAAATACGATTACCCTTTGGATACGCTCTAGTTGTTCATTGCCTTCCTGTCTTTAATACAATGCTTTCACTTTCCTGCCCTTCAATAAGTTACTAAGGGAAGCAGACATTTTTCTGGACAGTCTCTGTTTGATAAATGATCATGTCATACTATCACTTAGAGGACTGCCGCAAAGTACCAAAGAGCCAATTGTATTTCCTCAGCAGGGCTGGTGCCTAAGCTCCTGTGTGGACATCTGCAGCACAGCAATGCTCTTTCCGCAATTAATGATAACCACTGATGAACCTGTATTTGACCAGCATGCTCCAATCTTTATCGGAAATGTCTGGCCCAACTGTCCTTACTAAATCTAAAGACAGCCATTTGTCATCCCTCTGACTGCCTGTCATCATCTGCCTGGGAAAATCCATAATTTTTGGCTTGTTCCTGACTAAACTGTGGAATGAATGAATTTATCTTTGGGCTATTCTGCTTGTCAGGATCAATATTGAGCAGAGGTTGAATAAATTAGCAACTAAGGAAACATGACAGACCATAGTAGTTTATTCATTTGTGTCTTATAAATCAAATTTTTAGTTTATATATGAGGCAAACCTGTCAAATATTTTGCTTCCCCCATTCATTCTGAAGATTCTATATTTCATGATAAATAGTTATCAGAAAATGAATGGAGTAAATCACTAATGAGTCTGATGAGATGAACTTTTCAGGTTGTTTTATTGATTTAGCAAACTTTGTAGACATAAAACTGTGGGTAAAGATTAATTTTTTGGCAAATTTTTACAGATTCTTGCAATCTGACATTTAACTTAATAGTGTTAGCAACTTACATGATGGTGGCCCTAGCAAAGTTCATGTCTCAATTTATACTCATCAAGGTACTTGCAGAAATGCAAGTCTTACTGTAAATTGTTATTGGAATATTTAATATTTTTATACATTAATACATACCTGTTTTTAGAGGGTGAAGGGAGGGCAGGGGTATGGGGAAAAAATAAGAACCAAGATATATTATGTAAAGGCACATTATCCCAATGATAAATGCTATTGTATTGTTTGCTTTAAATGTACCAAAACTTAATGGGACAAAAAATACATACCTGTTTTTAAAAGTTACAGGAAAAAATGCAAATTTAACCAAAATCAAATGTCGTTTAAACCAGGCTCCTGCGAGTTAAAAAAAAAAAAAAAGGAGTTTCTAAACTGTGTATTGTTTGGCTCCCTGCTCACCTTTGCCACCAGTTTTATTCTGGAGAAGTGAGTCATCTACTTTCTGCTGCTGCTCTTGTGTCCACCTCCATCCTTGTTCTCATTTTTTCTCAACTAACGAAGACTATTACTTGTTTTCTCCCGAATCCATTTTCTTGATCCTTGAATCTTCTCGTCTAGCTTTTATTCTGACCTATCTTCTACTTAAAGTCACCAAATTTCTTGACCAGAGCTTCTGAAACCTTTACATGCTTAAGAATCACCAAGGGCAGATTCTTATTTGTTAGGTCCAGGGCAGAAGCTGAGATTCTGCCTTTCTGAGGTTGATGCTGCCAGTCCTTGACCCACTTTTGGAGTTAGGAGTCTAGGTCACTACCTTTCTTAACCAATGGGCATTCCTGCAGCCTGGTGCCACTAAAAAGGCACTGCTAACCTTATTAATAGTCACAGACTTTCTCAATCTCAATTCATTGCAGCCTCAATTCATGAGGACCATTCTCTTCATGGTTTGTGATTCCACATTCTTACAGGGTTCATGGATCCTTCATGAATCTCTGAGTCCAAGAGTAACAAATCTCTGGCCACAGAAATCCCCAGTATCTGTAGAGACAGTTTTCTAAAAGTTGCGTTTGAGAAATGAGAACACATCTCATTAAAAAACAGTTTCATACCTGGTGGACTATTGCCTGGGTCACCCATAAAAACCACATATTTAATGGAGAAAAAGCCTGAAGAACATCTATCTGTGCAGTGACATACAATAAAACTTCCCCAGAATTTAGTAGAATTTCCAGAGCACAGTAGCTCCC